CTTGCCGTCTATTGGCTGCACCTTCTTACTGCCCTTCTTGGTCTCGGCCCAAAATCAACCATTCCACGCCCTACCAGGCGATACGTCCCAAGTAGCGGAATATATATATTCCAAACGCCCTGCGGATTGGTGAACAATGCCACTGCATCTGCATCATGCTCAGCGGCTGTCACGCCGCGCACACCTGACGTCATCTCGGCTGGTAATCTTGCTCCACAAATCCCGGGAATCACAACAGTTTGACCCGAAGTTCCTGTCATCGGCACTAGGTGAGGACTCGGTGCTCATAAGTTCCTGTCATCGGCACTAGGTGAGGACTCGGTGCTCATCATTCCACGTGCAACATTGCCCATTGGATAATCTATTTCTGATGCATTATCGACTGCTTCTTCGAGTGTCTTTGGTTCTGGGTCTTGTTTTACTAACTTGCGTGTTGTTTTATCCAGGCACCGATAGAATTGAGCGAGGAGCACACGCTCACTGACCTTGTTGCGGCCAACTACATCACGAAGACCTGCGGCGAAGTCCGCATACGTTTCACCCGGCATCATTCTTCTCATGCTTACGCACCACTCGGCTGCTGGCTTGTCAAACCGCTCGCCATATCTCCTCAATAGCGTTTTCTTAAGCCCATGTTCGCTTGCGTGGCTCCATTCTGCGATCCATATTAACCCACCATCGTGCTGCGTTTTCCATCAGTTTATTACCAAGAATAAAGTACAATGAGCGATCCGACTATGTTCCTCTTCCTGATTATCGTGCACCTTTTAACGCTAAATCAACTCGATCGATCCAAGTAGAGACAGCGACCTTTGGAGACCGTGTGAAGGTCGGAAGTTCGAGATCCTTCACGCTGGGTCTTTTTCGTCTTCCACGTGCTCGTTCTCGTCCTCGCCGTTGATCATGTCGTCCATGTCGTCCTCGTCGTCTACGTCGACCACGTTCATCATCGGATTCAACACTGGAACTATTGGAGCTGCCGCTGGAGTCGTCGTCACCTCCACTGCTGCTCTCACTTCCACTACCACCATCATCGTCATCATCGTGTTCGTCACTGCTGTCATCCTTGTTGTCATCGTGCAGACCACGTCCGGCGTCATCATCATCACTGCTGCTGGGTGATCCATCGGAGCCAATCACTATCATATGAGGGTTGAGCCACTCTCACCACTCGTCGTCGATCATCGCATTGCTGAGCTCGTGGTGCACGGACTGCCTGTTGACCAGCTGCCTGCGTCGTCTGGAGCCGCGCCACCGCATCGGACAACTGCTGGATGGTGACCCTGATCGCCGCCATCTCCGTGGCTGGAACTTGGCCTGGTCGACCACTACTCGTACTCGTCATCGTCGTTGTGAGCCGCTGTAGTGCAGTGGACACTGCCGCTAACTCTGCTGCATGCATCGCCATTGGAGTCGCTATTGACTGGCTCGTGGCTGATGAAGCTGCTACCGACCGTCGAATCGTCGTCGATGAACTGGCCGCTGGTGGTGTCGCTGTTTGCATACCGGCAACCACCGACGCCAACTGCTGAACGGCGTTCGCGATCGTCGTCATCTCTCCTGCTGACAGCAGTCCCTCCTCCGCTCGTGTTTTGTCATTACTCGACACTGGCACCGTCGTCCTTGGTGTCAGCTACGAACTCGTCTTCGTCTTCGGTTGTGCAGGTGGTCGTCGATCACTCGACTCGTCCTGCTCGACAGACTGCTCGTCGCTCTCATCCCTGTATGGCCACCATGTAACAGGTCTAATATTGTCTGCCTGCCGGCGAATCGTATAGCCTGTGTTTTACCTACGGTTGTCCCTCCCGGGCCTTAGGATTAGACAAGTAACGTCAACTCAGTACACTCTG